TCCCTGAATTTTCTTCGACTTTTTTCTCTTTGAATGCTGACTTCTGCTAAATGCTGATTGCGGAAATCTCCGACATCCTAAGAAGTCCCCGAATTTTCCAAGTTGCTGTAAATTTTCTGACTTTCCCTGACTTTTCTGGATTTCTGTAAATTACTTGACTTTCCAGGTTTTCCAAACCAAGCAAAACCTTCACTTGCACAAAGCAGCTCATGTTTCATTTTTTTTATTTATTTATTTATTTTTTTTAATAAAAAAAACGAACTAACCAAAACACTTCTGCAAAATTTTCTGCGATTTTGTTTTTAATCATTTCAAATATATTCACAGGGACGTTCGAGGCGATGTGTTGGGTAGTTATTTTTTTACAGAAAAAACTGTTGTAGTGACATAATTTCATTAAAATTACGGCAGAAACGGGAAGTAAGTCGAGAATCAAGACGCGTGGTCACCAGTTACGTGGCGTGCTTTGCGATATATCGATTAATTGGCCATTTAAACATATGGAAAAGTACCGATAAACAGGGTGTTTGCTGCGAACACCTTAATAATCGATTATTTACAAAGGCCTCAAATGGGGAAATATCGATAGATCGCAGAGCACGCCACGCCACTGGTGGTCACTGGTCACTGGTCAGCCAGCGCAACAAGGCGTGATGGTGTCATCGTCGCAGGTAGACGCGCCTTCAATTCCAGCTAGCGACAATATAAGCATCACCCGTGGTCGAATAGTTATCTCAAAAACGTCTGGCGTGATAGCAATCTAACATCGATGGCGATGGCTGCAGCCGAGAATTCAAATAGTTGTATCATTGCGCCGTAAGATTTAAATGGAAATAGCCTCCATGCACGCTGGGCGTGTCGATTTCCTTCGACATTTTTGCAGTGGTGAATGCATAGCTGAAGTGCGCTTCAGCTAGAGTTGTATTTACAAATGGGTGGTTTTTCTACGAGGATTAAAAATAAACAAGTGGCACGGAATATAACAAAAGAATATGAACTGTGCAAAACGATAATCTGGGTATCGGGACTTGGCTGTTTTGAAAACGCCTTCAAATGCACTGTGAAACCTGACGCATTCCGGAGAGTTCATATAGTTGTATCACTGCGTCGTAAGAATGTGACGGAAAATTTAAATGGAGATAGACTCCATGCACGCTGGGCTTGTCGATTTCCTCTGAAATTTTTGCAGTGGTGAATGCATAGCTGAAGTGCGCTTCAGCTAGAGTTGTATATAGCAAATGAGTGGTTTTTCTACGAGGTTTAAAAATAAACAAGTGGCACGGAATATAACAAAAGAATATGAACTATGCAAAACGATAATCCGGGTATCGGAACTTGGCTGATTTGAAAACGCTTTCAAATGCGGCGTGATACCACACACATTCCGGAGAGTTCAAATAGTTGTACCTACCATTGCGCCTTAGACATGCGACGGAAGATTACAATTGAAATAACCTTCATGCACGCTGGCCTTTTCGATTTCCGTTAACATTTTTGCAGTCATGAAGTGCGTTTCAGCTAGAATTGTATTTAGCAAATGGGTGGTTTTTATAGGAGGATTATAATTAAACAAGTGGTTAGAAATGGAAAGAAAATAATATGAACTATGCAAAACGATTATTCCGATAACGGAACTTGGCTGTTTTGAAAACGCCTTCAAATGCGGCGTGATACCTCACGCATTCCGGTGAGTTCAAATAGTTGTATCATTGCGCCGTATGAATGTGACGGAAGATTTAAATGGAAATAGCCTTCATGCAGGCTCGCCACATCCCATCTCGGGCCCTGGTACCAGTTTTAAGGTCTGAGCCCCAAGCACGGAGGGAGGGGGAGTCCGAGGGGCATCCCCCGAGATATTTTAGAAATTATACGACTAATCGGACGCATTTTGTAGCTTCCATAAAGAATTTTCGAATTTACTTGCTCAAGTTCGAGAGTAAAAAAATTGTTGTGATTTAGTCTTCACGTCGCCTGGGGTTACTTTTTGTTACTTTTATCTTCTGTTTTGAAATGATTAAGGCAAATTCTCGGGAAATTTTGAGAGAATCTGTTGCTTGGCTTCAAAAATAAAATAAATAAATCAAAATGGAACATAAAGACGGTGTGCAACGCTTCAATCGGAGGAGAAGCGGGGGTTTCGCGCGCATTTCATCAATATTTGACTCCGATCGTGGAGGGCCTTATATAGGGAAACCGATGGTTACATCCCATATGGTTCTCGTGAAATTAAGATTGGATTCTTCCAATTCGTCACTTTTAACAAGCAGAATTGAAGCGAGCAACTATTTGAACTCCGGAGTGGGTATGTGGTATCATACAAAATTGAAGGAAAATCATACGTTTTCGCCCATCTCAAGTAACAGATGTTTAGGAGTTTCATGCGCACATTTACGTAATCTTAATTGAGTCAGAGATTCGCGTGTATGCCACGATATTAATGTGAATAACGCGCAATTGTAATGATCTTAAAAATTCGCTAGGAACACGACGTATTTGCCGTGATACCGTGGTGATTATCGTGTAATTTCTAATTTGTTTTACAAAATCCCAGGAAAAATCAAGTTTTCTCCGCGATGTAGATGACAAACCCGCCATTGCTGTGAATTAAACGAAACCGCTGGTTAAATCCCGTAATTATTTCGCGGCTGAAACTCACCAGCTAACTTCAATTAAACATTGAACTGACAAAAGTAACAAATCTTTATGAAAATAACCAACTTTTGATTGGGAATTTTTGAATATTATAATTATCATGTGAGCTTATTGCAGAACAGACCAAAATAGCAGCATACTACTAATATCAACTTTTTAATCAAACCAGTGCGTCTCGCCAATTTTGAAATAGTAGATAATAATTCAGAAACACAATTAGTAACTGATCACTAATCACAGTGATTGCTGATGGTGGGGTTTTCCTGTGCGTAGCACGGGTTTCCTGCTAGTCTTGAAAATAGATAGACATTTTTCAGGAAGTATACTTCTTTGAAAATTTCAGAAGAATTCTACAGTGCCCCAGCGTGTTTCTGAAAATCTATTCACCTTTTGCGAAATTTTTAGGGTGAATTTTTCACTTTTTCTTACGAAACAAAGGTTGGATGTGAATTCGTAGTGGTTTTTCACGGGTAATACGGGCCCCCTTCGGGGCCCGGGCCCCGGTACCAGGGACCCAATATCCCCCCTTCCCCTTGTGGCGGGCCTGTTTAACTGTGCCAACTCCTGTTAAATGCTAATTGCGAAATTCTCTGACTGTTCTAGGTTGCTTCATATTCCCTGACTTTCTAGGTTTTCTAGACCGCCGAAGATCTTGTTACGGCGACAAAAGTGAAAGAAATTGCTATTTATCTCTGTAAGGCAAATTGCCTATCTTTCACAATACATGGAACTCGTCCTGATGAGCGGCATTTCAGTGGCGTGGCGTGAATGATCGATTATCGATGTTTCCCCATTTAAATCCGTGGTATAGAATCGATTATTGAGGTGTTCGCAGCAAACACCCTGTTAATCGATCCTTTTCCATAGGTTTAAATGATAGATTAATCGATATATCGCAAAGCACGCCACGCCACTGTTTATGAACCAAATTATGTCCGGGTGTGGTTAGAAATTGCAATTTTAGTTCACTTAATGGCAAGTTCACTACAAATATATTCGATGCCCCAGGGCCGTATTTACATTTTTAGCGCCCTAGGCTAAACTTAGAGTGGCGCCCCTAAAAGTAGGCGCTCTCGTGGGGGGCGGGGGGGTGGTCCCCCAGACGCCCCTCCCCTCCAGATCAGAAGAAGGATGTTAGGAGTCCGGAAAATGTTCAAATTCACCTTTAAAAAAACACCTTTGTCAACCACACTTTGTAGAATCTGTGTCCCAAAATACCATAGACTTACGGCCGGCTGTAAGATTTCCAATAGCTTCTTTGCCGGCAACACAATTTCTTATAGCCTTTTATAGCCGATGGCGACTAAGCAACAGCCTGGCGATAAAGTGTATGCTAAACGTTACTAATTACGGATGCTTGGACTAGGTGAGTTTTTGGACTACCGCTCTCTTTTTGGGCCGTAGTATCTTGATTTATTTTGCGAGGTAAGCTCCGTACTTTTGAAGGATGCCTGCCATTCCTAACATGTTGGAGCGCCTGCAATTTTGTATGATACTGTTCAATACCTCTGGGGTGAAATAGTTGCTTCAAGCGCCGTGGTACGCTGCGGCGCGGCGCGGCGGGCGGGCAGCCAGCGCGAAACGCGCATTGGTGCCTTCAAACTTAACAGGGAAACTTCACGCATTGCGCAATGCGTGAAGTATCCCTGTTAGGTTTGGAGGCGCCAGTGCGCCGCCGCTTCGCTTTGTGTTAGGCTCTAATATTTAAGCTCGTGGAGTCAGCGTTTTTCAACTCATAACTTTGAAATGTTTGCACACTCTGTATGGATTATTCTCATTTTAATTGATGAAAAAAATATGTAGTAAAGGACAATATAATGTGTGTTTTGTGAATATTAAGGTGATTCCGTACAAACTTAAGGATTTACAAAGCACACGAATTTCTACACAATTTCTTATAGCCTTTTATAATCGATTGCGAAAAAACAACAGCCAGGCGATAAAGTGTAAAGCCCGACTATAGGAACTAAAGCCCGCCTGTATAATTTTTTATCGCTTCGTATAGCCCGGCCATAAGATTTTTTCCGCATTCTACAGCCAGATATATGATTTTCTGTTGCCTTCTTTAGCCGGCTATAAGAATTCCTACGGTATTTTGAAACGCAGCTCTTATCTCCAATTTTTACCAGGGTTTTGAATAAATTCTCAAAAATTTTGCGCCCCTCAAAATGTTGCGCCCTAGGCTATAGCCTATGTAGCCTATTGGTAAATCCGGCCCTGCGATGCCCGTGCTACTTGGGTGGTAGCAAAAGCTCAACATTTTGGTTTTCTAGACTAAAATTGGTATTATTCTCGCTATTATCAAGTAAAGCTAAAAAAGAAAGACTGAAAGAAGGAAAACAGACAAATATAGCAATCAATGAAAATATATTCGAACAAAAATAAAATTTTTACAATTTTGAAACAAGCTTGATAAAATTAGAACCGTAACATGTAATTATATAAAAGTCAATTTCAAAAGAGTAACAAATTAAATAAGGAGATTTAATCTGAGAATCATAAATGAAACATTAAATGAGAAGAAAAATAGAAAAAAAATATTTAACTATTCAGTTATGATTCTCAGATTTAAGCTTTTTAGTTTTATACTTTGTCCATTTAACTTTTCATTTATGATTCTCACTTGGAATCTTTTTATTTTTATTTCTCTGCTCATTTAATTACACACTCCTGCAAAATATTTTTCATGTCTTGTTGTCTGAAGTTTTCTTTTTTTTATTTTTATTATTGATCCCTTCCTACAAAATATTGCGGTTTTCGTTTCCTTTAACAATTTTTCACGATATTTTAGAGTCATGTTCACAGAATGAAAAACAAACTAAAATAAATTTCCTGAATTTAACTTAAGGCCCAAATTATGTTAGCTGGCTTCGAGAGGTTTGTCTCCAGTTCCCAAGCAACACAGATTGAAATAAAGTGCGGTACATACATGGTCAAATTATTAGCACTGCATCGCGGTGATGTGTATGTTGTTTATCTACTGATTGAGGGGGCACCTAGTATTGTAATTCAATTCAATAAAATTAAAAAAGTCACAAATTTGATTGTATTGGAAACTGCCTATTGTTTTGACACAAGGAACTCATTTTTTTAACTGCTCATAAACGGCATTCACTAACCAAATGATGAAAAAATATTGTAATTTTATGGTAAAAATAGCAATTTTACAGTATTGAAGTGCCATTTTATTTCAATACTTTCAATGCACTGTGCTACTTGGGGTACTAGTGAGCCTTCTCACTGACTGATTCTGCTGATTTCATACGATTAAGGCAGTCAAGGCTGCAGATACTATTTTCGCTATCATCACTGTACATTTTTGAAAGCAATAAGTAGGCAATAAATGATGTACATATCGTACCAGCTCATTATATTCCTGACAGTTATTATGGTTCTAAGCATGCAAATATCACGAACGTTGGAATTTTGGACATTTTTTTCAAACAATTTCTGAGAGTAATATCAAATATTCAGCGATTCAGTTAGTAAATGCACTTCTGTCAGAAATAAAGCTTCTCTTCAAAAATGCACTCTAAATCATTCCTCAAGGAAGCAGAAAAGCTCATGTAGTCCGAATATTGAAACTATGTCAGAACGACAAGACAAGACAAAACCTTAACTTAACGGAGCAATACATCGCATTTTGATGTCTTATCATGCTGCTTTAAACTTTGAGTGATCGGCCTGGCAAATTACCGTATGTTGAATACTTGAATTACCAGGTTTAGTACATGTATTAGGTGGAAAATCATTGCTCACACGTAAAAAGTGTACTTAATGCACCGAAAAAAAATAGGATAATACCCACTGCCCTCGTAACCAATATAAAATGTTCAGTTTCAACAAGCTTTTCATTTAAAGGTCATACAAAAAATTGCAAAACGTTTGGGGATTATTGATCTCTACTTTTAATGAAAATACCCTGGTGATCATGACATGTAAATTTTATCCAAAAATAGATTAGAAAACTAAAATTTTCAGAAGAAATCGTGAGTCCATCCTAAAATCAACCATCAAACAACCCAAAACCTAAGTCTATATCATCAAGTTCTTCTTGTGAATAAACAGGGTGTTGAGAATAATAACATGGGTTCGGCTGCAACAAAAGTTCTCTATCCTTGGACTTCTTTATTTCTGCAAATTCACTGCTTGCAGACGGGTGCGCATTATTACGAATATAATCTAGTAGGGTTTGTCCGACATAATCCTGAGCATTCGTCACAGCAAAAAATTCATCAAAATCCATTTCCCGTAATCTGCTCAACAGTTCCTCCGTATTTTCTTCCCCAGCTTTGAATAATTCTTCTACCAAGTTCAGAATTCTGGTGACATCCTCCTTCCTTGAGAGATCGGAGGGTTTTTTATTTTCTTTGTTTCTAGCGTTATACATAGCTCCATGTTTCAGTAGAGCTTTTGTAATCTCTACAGATTCATTCTGAGCAGCAATATGAAGAGCTGTGGTTCCATTTTCTCCCTTAGCATTAACAAAACGATTTGAACTGCCATTCTTCTTGGCAAGTTTGAAGATAGTATCTGTTAATTCCGCATCACCCTTCGCAGCAACTAAATGAAGTAGTGTGCTACCTGAATTGGTCACTTGAGCCACATGTGCACCATTTTCTAAAAGTAATGATGTTATGTCTTTCCAGGCATTACTTACAGCAAAGTATAAAGGACTGCAACCATTACTGTCGACAGCATTTATGATACCATTCTTCTTTTTTACGAGCTCACTGACAAGTTCTTGTTTTCCTTTTTTTACAGCTTCAAAAAGTTCGCCTACCATTGTCAAAATTTCTCTGATGGAGTTGCACTCTGCTAGATCCAAGGGTGTCTTACCCTCTTTTGTCTTAGCTTCATATGCTGCCCCGCATTGAAAGAGTAGAGATACGCTCTCTGGGTCATCTCCTTTAGCAGCATAATGCAAAGGTGTCCAGTTATTCTTGCAGATAGGATTTACATTAATTTTTTCCAAAATACGAGAGATATGAGGATCACCAATCCTTGCAACTCCTTTACCTCTGTTTAACCATTCAGGGAAAGTTAGGATAGTGCTTCTTGGGCTAATTTTTTCTTGTAAAAGAAATCGTAGAATTGTTTTATTATTTCGCTTCACAGCATGATGTAGAAGAGTAAGTCGACTATCGTCTTGTTTCTGGTTAACAACTTCAGCTATTTTAAGTAAGCTTTTCACTCTTTCGATGCCCTCATTATTAATAACTGCGGTAAAAATTTGATCAACTGCACTCAGCTTTCTGCTGAGATAAGAATTTCCGAAGTCAGGATATCGATTCATCTCTATGGGTCTCTTGTTCGATTTGTTACGTACATTGATTTTAGCTCCATTATCCAATAATACATTCGCAACTTCAAGATTTTCGGATATTCCACAGAGGTGTAAAGGAGTATTGCCGAAGTTATCGACGGTATCAACATCAATACCGTTTTGCAAAAAAAACTCAGCCACGCCTGGCACACCCTTAAATCGTGAGTCCATTATGTCTGCGTCAGCTGCAGTGTGTAGAACAGATTTGCCATCCTTCGTGACTGCCTTTAGTTCTGCCCCGTTTTCTAGGAGCAGTTTCGCTACGGCTGCGTTTCGAGCAGTATGCAATGGTGTGATTCCCTCATTGTTACATGCATTGACATTTCCACCTTTTTCGATGAGAACTTTGGCTACGTGAAAATTCTGCACAAAATGTAGAGGTGTGTCCCCTGATGCGTTTGAGGCATTAACTTCTGCTCCATGTTGTATGAGGCATTTTGCAATGGATGGGGTCCACGCTGAGTGCAAAGGTGTATTTAGTAACTTGTCCATTGCATTGACATTTGCGCCTTTATCAATGAGGAGTTTGACTGTAGATAAATGTCTGGCAAAATGTAAAGCAGTTCTCATTTGATCCCACTCATCTCCATGGTAGTCAATACAGCTGTTAACATCAGTTCCCATTTTTATGAGAAAATCGGCTGCCTTTGGATCATATCCACCATAATCCTGGCGCATAGCCCAATAGAGGGGAGTACCACCTCGAGCATTGTTAAGAGTAGCTCCCTTCTCAATAAGGTACCTCATTGTATCCAAAGAACCATTATGCTTCACTAGCAAACACAGGGGTGTCCTTCCATCATTTTCAGTGGCATTTACATCCGCTCCATTCTCGACTAAAAATCTTATTAGTTTATCATCGGTGTCTCTCGCAGCATAATGTAATAAAGTTCCTCCTCTGTTTCTCGCATAGTGAGCAAGCGGGTCATACGCATTTACATCCGAGCCCACAGAAATTAGAAACTTTGCAACTTCTAGTTTTTTACATTTAATAGCGTATTGCAGAGGTGTGGCTTTGTAATAATTTTCACTTCTTGCACGGATATCAGCACCATTTTCTACGAGAAGTTTGGCTACTTCTGTATGCCCATGTTTTGCAGCAATGTGCAAAGGCGTGTTACCATTCTTTGTTTTACTGTGGATATTTGCTCCTTTCTTGATCAAGTAATCAACCAGATCTAGCATTCCTGCATCTACAGCACGATGAAAAGGATTTAATCCGTCTTCATCACTAATTTCAATATCACCAACTCTGTCAATGATTAACTTGGATATGTTTGTATTCTTCTCTTTCAGAGCACGCTCTAAAGGTGTTTGATTAAAATGGCGGGTTTTAACGTCGACTCGCTCATCTTTAAGCAAGATTTGCACACATTCCTCTAGATTGTTTTCTATTGAAATCCAGAGTGATGTGCAGCCATCGTCATCAACAGCGTTGACATCAGGTTCCTTCTCCAGTAAATCGGACAGGATTTCCGCTTGACCATACTCGGAGGCAATGTGTATAGGGGCTTTACCATTGAAATATGTGTTAATAAAATGTGAGCAGCGATTATCTGCCAACAGAACTTTCACAATGTCGGTATGTCCTTTTTCACATGCTATGTGTAAAGGTGTTTTACCATGGTGAAGCCTATTTACATCTAAATTAGGTTGTTCCAATAGTAGTTTAACCAATGCAACATTACCACCCTCAGCTGCTATTAGAAGTGGTGTTTTCTCATCAGGCGTCAGTGCATTAATATTAGAATTCAAATCAATGAGCTTTTTTGTTAATTCTAAAAATCCTTTTTCAACTGCAATGTGTAATGACGTTTTGCCACATGGATTGAGCTCATTCATGTTAACAAGCTTATTTTGCATAATGGTGCTCAGTGAAGATATGTCATTGCTTTCTACAGCAGCAAATAAGGGAGAGTCGAAATAAGACATTATGATAAATAGCGTTTACAAGTAATAGGTTGAATGCAAATTTTAGATATTAAATGCGTAAATTCTCACAAAAGGGCAGAGCCTAGGAGTGTAATTTGAAACCTTAAAAAGAGCTCCGATTAGAAAATAATAATTTAATGGATACAGAGGACCAATTAACATAAAATTATGAACTCTTATATCATCAGGTTACACTAATAAAACTCTGAGCTATCAGAGGCTATAAAATAAAATCGATACAGCTTAATCTATGATGTGAGTGTTGTTGTTCTTTTTTATAAATTTCAGAACAACTAACCCTCAAAGAGAAAAAAGAAAATGATTACATTTCAGATGTGCTGGTACCTCTACAATTAATTCTGAAGCCCGATATATTAGAAATTATACCAGAGTGAGTGTTTTCTGTGGAGCTGTGGCGGGCTCAGATGTTCTTCTGGAACAAAATAAAATTGCATTTGATAATAGAATTGTGTCCTACTATTCCTGCATGAGCACTTGGCTAAATATCGTTGTTCTTACGTCCTAAATTATGAGGAATAGAGGTACTCACAAAATTTCAACTTAAAGTGATTCTTAGTTTCCCGTTGAAAAACTAAAACATCAGAAAAAATTAATGTAATTAGGCCGATTTTGGTTAAATCCGTCCAATTCAAGTTCGACAGTGAGTGCATTGTTACCAGATTGTGCTGAAAAATCAGCACTTTTCTCCATTTAACCCCACGTAAAGTAACAATGTAAATGCCAGCTCCTCACCGGTCAGTGATCAAAAAATTCCAAGCTTTGTTTGCATTGACTCTTGCATTATTACCATGTAATAGTGTTTAGTGCATGAATCTTCTGTTTGTGAAATGCTCTGCAGATGGGAGAACTCCCGAAATGCGTAAGCATGTATAAATGAATTGTTTATTGTCAATGTAAATACAGTGTTTTGGCTAAATAAGTTCGAAATTGTTACAAAAAATGACACTGATAATCGCAAACGCATTTAAGTACAACGTTAAGTAGGTATCCCAATACCATCACACAAAATGGCAACCTTGAGTGATTGTATGAGCATCCCGAATGAACAGTGCGGTTAAACTCTATCATCAAAGGAAGGCAGTTGGGCATTAGGAAATACCACTGTTTGTGTTAAAAGTGCCATTGCATCTGCAAGTGTAATTTTTAAAAAAAAGTAATTACTTTGTATGAAGATGCGATTTTTCTTGACAATTGGACTACATTTTGCAATTAGGAACTATGATTCCTGGCCCATCTGTAAAAACACTCATGTGCATAGGGCAACTATTGGTGCATATGTTGTTTCTAAATTGAGCCAGTAATGTTAGTTCCAAGTTGTGAGATGCAGTCCAATTTATCTGTGGATTAAATGTATTTCGAGTTTTCTAAACGAATCATCGGTAGGTAGTTAAAACAGTTGGAAAAACCCACTGACATGGATTGTTCTGTAATCTGTGTGTGAATATGTTCGTTTTTAACAATTGATGATGCAATCAGGATACACAAGATGCTTTTAGCTCACAAATAAATAGTAAACAAAAATCTCATCTCCGTAGATACGTTTAATTACATTTTTTAAAAATAAAATGATGGCCTAGATGAAAAAAGTTGGCAAAAGAAGGTGGTTTGTGGGTGAATGCAGAGGACCTTTTCCTCAATCAAATAATCCAAAACCTAAATCCAAGTCCTCAAGTTCTTCCTCTGAGTGACAGGGGTTTTGGGAATAGTGACATGGGTTGGTCTGTAACAAGTGTTCTCTTTCCTTCAACTTCATCATTTCTGATAACTTATGAGTAACAGATGGTTGCGCATTATTCTCAATGATATTTGCAAGAGTTTGTCCATAATAGTCACAGGTCTTTGTGACTGCAAAAAAATCATCAAGTTCCAGAGTGTCCAGTCTACTTAGGACTTCCTCACTCCTTTCTACGGCAGCTACAAACAACTCTTCTATTAAGGCCAGTATATTTGTAATATCCTCACTTCTGGAGAGATCAAGTGGACGCTTATTTTCTTCATTTCTGGCGTTATAAGTTGCACCGTGTTTTAGAAGAGCCTTCACCATTTTCACCAAACTGTTCTGCGCAGCTACATGAAGCGCAGTAGTCCCTTTTTCTTCTTCGGCATTTACAAAAACATTTAAACTTCCATTCTTCTTGGCATGTTTGAAGATAGTATCTGTTAATTCTGCATCCCCCTTCGCAGCAGCTAAATGAAGTAGTGTGCTACCTGAATTGGTCACTAGAGCCACATTTGCACCATTTTCTAAAAGTAATGATGTTATGTCTTTCCAGGCATTACTTACAGCAAAGTATAAAGGACTGCAACCATTACTGTCGACAGCATTCACGATGCCATAATTCTTTTTTAAAATTTCACTGATGAGGTCTTTTTTCCCTTTTTTCACAGCTTCAAAAAATTCATCTGCCATTGTCAAAATTTCTCTGATGGAGTTACACTCCGCTAGATCCAAGGGCGTCTTACCCTCTTTTGTCTTAGCTTCATATGCGGCCCCGCACTGAAGGAGTAGAGTTACGCTCTCTGGGTCATCTCCTTTAGCAGCATAATGCAAAGGTGTCCAGTTATTCTTGCAGCGAGGATTTACATTGATTTTATCTAAAATACTAGCAGTGTAAAGATCACAGGACCTTGATGTTCTTTTACTCTTAAACGGTAGCCCAAGGAAAGTTCTGCTTGTGTTTTTTTGGGTAATTTTTTCTTGTAGAAGAAATTGTACCATCTTTTTATTATTTTGTTTTACTGCATGGTGTAAAGGAGTCAGTTTACTATCATCTTGAGTCAGGTTGATAGTTTTTACTTCTCGAAGGAAGCGCCTTACTCTATCAAAGCCCTCATTGTCAATAATCGCAGTAAATATTTCATCGATTGCGTGAAACATTCTGCAAAATGTACCACCCCCAGAGTCAAAAAATCGGCCACACTCTACAGGTGTCTTATTTGATTTGTTCAAAGCTTTAGTGTTAGCTCCTTTCTCTAAAAGTACTGCAGCAACTTGAATGTTGTCAGATGTTCCGCAACAGTGCAAAGGCGTATTACCACTGTCGTCAGCAACATTAACATCTATACCCTTCTGTAAAAAAAATTCTACTACCTCAGGCACACCTGTATATTGTGAGAGTGAAATTACATCAGCTTCAGCACCTGTGTGTACAACAGTTTTACCATCTTTAGTAACGGCCTTCAGTTCTGCACCATCTTCTAAAAGCAGTTTTGCGATGGCTATGTTCCGAGCAGTATGTAATGGTGTGTAACCCTCGTTATTACATGCACTGACATTTCCACCTTTTTCGATGAGAATTTTTGCTGTGTGGAAATTCTGAACAAAATGCAGAGGTGTATCCCCTGATTCGTTTGAAGCATTGACTTCTGCTCCGTGTTCTAGGAGACATTTTGCTATGGAGGGAGTCCGCGCTACGTGCAAAGGTGTATTTAGTGACTTGTCCATTGCATTAACATTCGCGCCTTTATCTATGAGGAGTTCAACTGTAGATAAATGTCTGGCCAAGTGTAAAGCAGTTCTCATTTGATCCCACTCATCTCCATGGTAGTCAATACAGCTGTTAACATCAGTTCCCATTTCTATGAGAAAATCGGCTACCTTTGGATCATGTCCACCATAATCAACAGAAAAAGCCCAATACAGTGGCGTGCCACCACGCTCATTGTTAAGAGTGGCTCCCTTTTCTATGAGGTATCTCATCACAGCAAAACTACCGTGGTGCTTTACAAGTAAACATAGAGGTGTCCTTCCATCGTACTCAGTAGCATTGACATCTGCCCCGTTCTCTACTAAAAATCTTATTATTTCTTCTTCATCCATTTCCCGTGATGCCCAATGTAGTAGAGTTCCTCCTCTATCCATTGCATAATGAGCACGAGGAAAATGAGCGTTTATGTCCGAGCCCACAGAAATTAGAAATTTGGCAACTTCCAGCTTTGAGCATATTACAGCCAATTGAAGTGGTGTGCAATTGTAATAATTTTCACTTCTTGCATGAATGTCAGCCCCATTATCAACAAGAAATTTAGCTACTTCTAAATGTCCACTTCTAGCAGCGACATGCAAAGGGGTGTTACCATTCTTAGTTTTACTTTGGATATTTGCTCCTTTCTTGATCACGTAATCAACGACATCTACCATTCCTGCATCTACAGCACGATGTAAAGGATTTAATCCGTCTTCATCAGTAATTTCAATACCACCAACTCTGTCAATGATTAACTCGGATATGTTTGTATTCTTCTCTTTCAGAGCACGCTCTAAAGGTGTTTGACTAAAATGGCGGGTTTTAACATCGACACGCTCATCTTTAAGCAAGATTTCCGCACATTTCTCTTGATTGTTTTCTATTGCAATCCAGAGAGGTGTACAGCCATTTTTATCGACAGCATTAACATCGTGAGTTTTCGCCAGTAAGTTAGATAAAATATTGGTTCGACCATACTCAACAGCAATGTGTGTTGGAGTTTTTCCAGAGGAGTCTTTCATGTTGACGTAATGTGTGCAGCGGTGGTCTGCTAATAGAGCCTTTACAACATCGGTGTGACCCTTTTCACATGCTATATGTAAAGTTGTTTTCTCATGATAAGACCTGCTTACATCTAGGTTCGATTGTCCTAATAATAATTCGATCAATATGCTGTTACCATTTTCAGCAGCTATAGAAAAAGGGGTTGTTTCATCTGATGCTAGTGCATTAATATCAGATTTGGCATCTATAAGTTCTTTTGTTAACTCTATGAATCCTTTTTCGACTGAAATGTGTAGAGAAGTTTTTCCGAATGAATTGAAACTGTTTACATCAACCATTTTGTTCTGAATCATATTTTTGACCGTAGTTAGATCATTGTTTTCAACAGCATCGAAAAAGAGAAAATTGGAGTTAGACATTATGCTGATAATACCTTGTTGAGAAGAAATTTTAAATACTAAATAAATTCTACAGGAAAAGCAGTCTTGTAAATAATTCTAAATCTGAAAACTAACTTTGATGCAAAAGCTAGTAATCAGATGAACAACAGGAACTAATAACAAAAGGTCGTTAAGTTTCAGGAAATCCCTGAATTACCTAATGAGATCTATTCTTTCCCACATAGAAATTTTGGAGCTGCAAGTGTGAAGAGAGGAAGGTAATTTTTACATTTTAAAAAGGCTCGTACCTCTATAGGTAGTTAAGAAGTGAGTTATGCTCTGAGTTATATCCAAAAATGAGCCGAGGTGTTGAAAAGTAGGTGTTCTTCTGGAACAAAACAAAATTAATTTTAATGATATGATGTTTTAGTTTGAATATTGAGGGAGCTTTTGGCTAGAGATTGTGTGAGAAGTCTGAAATTTGCAGGGATGAAAAGCAATTAAGCTCCACCGAGTGACTCAAATTAAGAAAGAAAAAATTTCACATGAAATTACAATTCCTCACATCGAGTCAACTTTAAAGAAACAGAAGAAACGCTATTTTTCTCAATTGAGACTATATCATGTCGGTTTCAGGGGAGAACCAACGTATGATCATGAACAACCCTCTTGTTTTAATAAGGGCTGCCACAGAATTTAAAAAATGAAATTCCCTGACATTTGAAGGATGATTAAAAATTCATGATTTGAAATATGTAGTTTTCAAATAGTTTTGAATGATTTCGCATATGTTGTTCATGCACATTCTAAAATGCGAATGGAGGTGCTTTGACATTTTTTCCTAAAATTTCTTGGTTTTTTTTGAATCATTAAAATTCCAAGACATTTCTTGAATACTCACTTTTCCCCGACTGTGGCAACCCTGGTTTTAATAGATTCGGTGAAAATAATGTCTCACTTCCCAAAAATTAAAATCTCTGAAACTTAAACAAATCAAAATTCTGTTCTTTTATAGGCATTTCAAAGCTCTGAGATTCGTTCAAGATAAATTAAATAGAGCTTTTAACTAATCATACATCTGCATGACAATGGTAAGAAACCTATTGATAAAAACGAAGTTGAAAAGTACCAAAGTACCATACAATTTTTTTTTTTTTTTAGTCGAATAATAATCCACATCCAATGTCTATATCTTCAAAGCTCTCTTCAACGCTCTCTTCAACGCAGTTCATGTTCTGAGAATTTAGGCATCGATTCTGCAAAAAAAGTTGTTTTTCTTTCGATGCCCGTAGATCAAATAATTTTTTAACAACACTGCCACTCTCATTAAGGTCTATAATATCTGCTAATGTGTGCCCATAACTATTACGAACTTTTGACAAAATATAGAAATCCTCAGCATTCATTGTTTCCAATCTTTCAGGGATTTCTTCACCTTTCTCCTCGGCAAACTTGAACACTTCTTCAACAAGCATGAAGAAACAGGTGACTGCCTCATTTGCAGAAAAGTCTACAGGTTTCAAGTTGTTTTTATTTTGAATATCAAAAGCCGCACCATTTTTTAGCAAAGTTTTTGTGATAACTGACGAACCACTTTTGGCAGCAATGTGAAGAGCTGTGATTCCATCAAGTTTTTTAGCATTTATGAAAGAGATTAGACTACTCATGTCATTAGCACGGTTCAATATAGCATTCACCAATTCCTCATCTTTTTTAGAGACGGCAAGATGAAGTACTGTGCTTCCGTCACTGGCACTTTGTGTCACATCAATACCACTTTCCAAGAGAAACGTTACTACATCTCTGTGTCCGTTCTCGATGGAATAATGTAATAGATTTCTACCGTCACTTTCCACAGCATTCATGATCGATTCTTCCTTGGAAATGTACTCAACGACTTGTTCTAGATTACCTATTTTTACAGCTTCAAAAAGTTCATTTACCATTGTTAACAGTTGTTTCACAGCACAATTTTCTGCAAGTTCTATAGGTAGGTAGCCGTCATAAGTTTTGGCATTGTGCGCTGCTCCACTTTTCAGAAGCCAACTTACAATAGTAAAGTCACCCCCTCTAGAAGCATAATGCAACGGTGTCCAGTTGTCTTTGCAAAGGGCATTAACCTTAACTTTCTTCAATGTACCATCGATAAACTTGTTCCTTTTTTTAAAAGTTTCACGAATTCTGATGGGCCAATTCGCTTCTAGAATGAATTTTACGATTTTCTTTCGATTTAGCTGTACTGCACAGTGTAATGGTGTGAATTTGCTGTCATCTTTCATGACATTGATGGTCTGGATACTACAGATTAGCCTCCTTATTTCCTCTGTAGATTCATTTTCTTCAATAGCAGAAAACAATTTTTCAACGGATTTTAGCATGCTGGAAGACATACCTCTTCCACATTCTATAGGTCTTAGATTACAATTATTGATTGCATTTCGATCTGCTCCATTTTCTAGAAGACTTGAAGCAACAATCATATTATTCGTTTTGCAACAAATGTGCAATGGAGTATTGCCTCCACCGTCGACACCATTAACATCAATTCCACCCTGTATAAAAAAATTCACCAAATCTGGTAAACCTTTATATTTGGAATTGAAGAGAACATCTGCTTCCGCCACAGTGTGTAGAACAGTTTTGCCATTTTCCGCCCTAGCTCTAAAATCTGCACCGTTCCGGATGAGGATTTTTGCTATAGAAGTATTTACTGCGAAGTGCAACGGTGTGTATCCTTTAGAATTTTTAGCATCGACATCAGCTCCCATTTTTATCAAGAATTTAGCGCAATATACATTCAGAACACAATGGAGAGGTGCATTTCCTTCCTTGTTGATAGCATTCACATTGGCACCTTTAAGGACAAGATATTTGGCTTGATGAAGACTGTGGGCAAAATGTAAGGGCATGTTGCCCCACTTGTCAGTGGCATTGATATCCGCTCCTTTCTCCACGAGTAGCTTTATGGTGGAGATATTTTTTGCCACATGTAACGGTGTTTTCAGTGGGTCATCGGAATTTCCAAAATATCCGAGAGGTTGATTGACATCTGCCCCCATTTCGATCAGAAAATTCGCGACCTCTGGACGCAGTCCTTCAGAATCCACATAAAAAGCCCATAATAGAGGAGAGCCCCTTCTATGAGCCCCCTTGTTCAGATTCGCACCTTTTTCGATGAGGTACCTCATGATATCCAGGGTGCCATGATGCTTGACGAGCAAACACAGCGGCGTTCTCCCATCATAAGCAGCAGCATTTACATCGGCACCATTCTCCACGAGAAATCGTATCATCTTGTCTTGAAACTTTTGATCGTATTCCCGAGCAGCCCAGTGAAGGAGGGTCCCGCCTTTGTTAATCGTGTAATGAGTGTGTGGGTCGGTTGCATTAATATCTGCACCTTTTTTGATTAGAAATTTCGCCATTTCTAAATGAGAGCCTTTCACGGCAAGTTGTACGGGTGTTGCTTTATAGCTATTTTCACAATTAATATGGACATCGGCGCCTTTGTCAAAGAGAAGCTTAGCTATTTCTAGCTCTCCATACATAGAAGCAATATGCAATGGTGTGTTACCTCTTTTTGTCTTGGAGTGAACACTGGCTCCTCTCTTGAGGAGATGATCTACAACATCCAACAAACCTTTACAGATGGCATGATGTAAGAGTGTCAGTCCATCATTGTCAATAATATTTATATCAGCATCTCTCTCAATTAGTAGCTTCGAAATGGTTGAATTTCCCTCTTGAACAGCGTACCCTAAAGGTGTCCTATCCTTAAAACGAAAGTTGACATTAACTCGGAAATCCTTCAGTAAAGCTTGAACACTTTTTTCTTGATTATTATCCAATGCAATCCAAAGCGGTGTACAGCCATCGCTGTCAATGCTGTTAACACTTGGTTTTTTCTCTAAGAGAGCACTTATGATGTCTTCATATCCATACTTTGCAGCAATATGAAGGGGTTTACTACCATTGTGATCAATGTTAATATAGTGCATGCAACGATAATCAGCCAACAGTAGTTTAACAACACTTGTGTAACCTTTCTCGCATGCTACGAGCAATGGGGTTCGGCCATTGTGGTGTAAGTTCACGTCTATATTGGGTTTCTCCAACAAAATGTTTACTATTTTGTCTTTTCCATGCTCAGCTGCTAAAAATAATGATGTTCTTCCATCAATGGTGCGCATATTAATGTCTGCACCGGCCTCTAATAGTTCTTTGGCTACCTCTACGTACCCTTTTTCAGCTGCAATATGAAGCAAGGTTTTGCAGCATGCGTTGAATAAATTAAGATTAACACCTTTGGTGTGGACAAAGCACTTGACGCGCTGAAAATCATCAGTCTCAACTGCCTCAAATAAAGCATTTACTATGTCGGCCATTATTGGCTTAATCAGATAATTTTTAATGACTTTTGGAGCAATAATACAGGTATCACAAACTATCACAGAGATCTCAAGTAAAAATTAACAAAATGCAGGTATCACAAAATATTAGCAGAGATACAGGCGTACTTTATGACCTTAAACAAACTAAATTAAATAAATAATATAACCCAGCTTTTAAGGCAGGGACGGGTTCTATACTCAAAGAAAAAAGTAGTGGCGACTTACATTCGATAAACTAGTTTTGAACTAGATTAAAGTTGGTGGGCTTAGTTCAAACAGTTGATGACTAAACAGAGATCTGGAGATTAAGTTCAAGTAAATAGTACAATCTTCTGGAACAAAATAAAAGAAAGCAAATAGGGTTGATTCACTAAAAATGAGCAAAGTATACCATAACATGAAATGATAAAATGAGCAAATAAATTGTGTTTTACTTTGGGATTGTCGAGACTACCACGGTTACCATAATTTCTTCATCATTGAATACCCTGACTTTTCTCTAATTTTTATTGCTTTTCCCTGACTTTCCCTGACAAATGAATAAAACTTGCACTTTGATTTTTTCCTCTTCAAATACACTCACTTCTGCTGAACGTTAACAAATTGGATTCTCTGACTTTCCCTGGCCGCTGCGAATTCCCTGACTTTCCCGTTTTCCAGACCGCTGGCAACCTTTGACTACTGATTTTATTTGAACACAGAAAGTTGAACTGACCTAAGGAAAAATGAATAGAAGCAAGATATAGCAAACATACAACTTGGCATTTTCTGACACAAAGGTTTCGTTTATAGAGAGGCGACAAAGGGGGTGAACTGTGGAGTGTGGACCCTCTCTAAGCAAACATTGGAATGGTCCAGTCGATTTCAACTGAAAATAAAGCAACTAAATAATGGACAACTAGACAAGGTACGAATCTAAGCATTCTGATATATATTTTTAACTAGAATTTCACGTAGAACACGATTCTTGCATTGTAAATTACTGAAATCAACTCCTAACTGAGATATTAACGTTTTTACTTTACATTGACTGCGGGAAATTTGAATCGCCTGGTCACAAGAAACGCAATACTTTGCTTGAGTCAGATTGCGCTACAACAATAGTGGCGGGCTTTTTAATTGAACAATGATACTTTTCCGCCTTGTGTCCTTCAAAGTATTAACAACCTACGACAATTAAGCCAAAACACTGAAATCGAGATGCTACCTTTTCATATTGCGGGGACTTCTCTGGCAACTTTTAGTGCACGATCTGACTAAAGTAGAAAATTGCGTTTTCATGAACGGAAGGATTGAATTCATGCGTCAAGAAACATTAAATTTCTTGGTTAGGAGTTAATTTTAGTAATTTTTGTTGCAAAGAATCAAATTCTACGTGAAGTATTGGTTATGAAAAATGTATCAGAATGCTTTACTTCGTACCTTGTCTAGAGGTCCATTATTCTTCAGTCTTAAGGGCTGAGTATCTCTTAAATTTTTTTTAAAGATATATTATCCAACTTCATGGTAAAAATAGTAATAAACTTACATGTTGTCTGCAATTTTTTCACACCAGACTTTTTGGAGCCTTTTTGTGAAGAAACCAAGATGAGACAAGTGAACAAGTTTATATGATGAAAAAAATCAGTCTTCAACCATCCTCAGTTCTCCTCAGGCTGTAGGAAGTATTTTTTGTCCTGCTTTTGACAATTCAGAAACCCCACAACACCTGAAAAATAAGACATGCATGAGGCTCATGTGGTCCGATAAGAATCTCATTTAAACAAAAAAAATCTAGCTTGGTGAATAATTTCTGAACACAAGAACAACAAGAGTTGAGACGAGAGATGCCAGAAGGGCATAAGTCCAAAAACCCATGAGCCTGGTATCATTTATATGGTCAAGAGTTAATTGTATATTTTAAAATACAAAAAAGGCAGAGGTCCAGATTCCACTTCCTAAGGAATTAGAAAAAAAGAAATCATCATCAGGAATTTGAAAATTAGAGGAAAATAAAGGGTTTTTAAAGTTAGAAGGCTCATTAAAAAGTGGGAGGGCAAGCTAAATCCTTAATGGATTTTATGAATGTGACTTGGAAACACCAGAAAATCGTCTTAGTGTAACCAAAATACTTCAAGTATGTCTCACCATGAAATAGATTGTATTTAACAGAAAGGAACCAATGCTATTACAGTGTTTTTAAAACCATGCATCTTCTTCACCTTAAAAAATACTAAAAACAAGTCAAGTCATAGAATTTACACATGCATTTCCCTTTAAATTTTAACATTTTTTAGTAGAAAAACAAAAACTATTCTTGCTATTGTAGGCAATTTTTAACATGGAGCTGAAAATAAAATGATGTTACACTATCCTTGCCCCCCTCCGGCTCTAGAGCGATACTTATTTTGTGAAAGTTGTGAGGAAAGTTAAGAAATGGTTGGTTTCTGCAGGGATTTGTATGCAATTTGAAATTAAAGTAACACAAATAGGTATCTTTATCATTAAGTCATTACAACTCGTCGAACTTGTCTTCAATCGTGTACCTACCACAACTACAAAATGGGTCTTTCGAGCAATTTGTCTTTTTATACGCATTAGATTTACAGTCGTAAAACATTTTCGTCTTTAACTTCAAGCAATAATCTTCGTCATTTTAATAATTTCCTACCCAAGTCTTTTTTTTTTTAACTTTGTATGACAGATAAATTCAATACCTCTTACAATTAGACTGAACAGCCATAAATGTTACTATGTACTTAATAATTTTGGCTAATAAAGTAAATACATGATTAAAAAATAAATAGGCTTACCTACTTAAAAACCAGCTTTCAAAATGATAGTTGTGGGCAAATATTTAGATTGAAGAAAATCTAAGAAGAGCTTGTGTACAGTAATTTATGTAGTTGTGGGTTGTGACAGTCTACTGCTGCAAAAGTTTGAAATTTCCTGGGAAAAAAACGAAAAAATTCTATAAATAAAAGACGGCAATGGCACAAGTAAGTGTAACTAAGACAACACTAAAAGACTTCTACGATTGAAGAAGATATGGCCAGGATGCAGAGTAGAATTACAGTAAGTGCCTCCTGGTCAAGTGGGGTCGCTGATTCACTTAGATTACACAACTGCAGGCAATGGAGCACAAACAGAAGCAAAGATTACTCATAACTTCATGAAGAAGAAGAAGAAGAAGAAGAAGAAGCACTGAAGATAAGCAGCACCAAGCCCATAGACTCAGGTGTGCGCACATATATCATATCTCTCCACTTGACGGTGCATTTTTTCAGATGATGACAGCATTTTGCAGGGCTTATCTCAACGGCAATTCTGAATATTGAAAAAAGGGAACGAGAAGGGGCAGTCCAAAATTGAGACACAAACCTAACTTGAAAAATCCTGGTAGCAAGACACGGATCTTGCCCACATCTTATGCATGTTGCAGAGTGGAAGTGCGACCTTACCGACTCATGTTGAAAGGGGTTTAAACATGTTCGCAGTCTTGCAAACATCGGCTCTTAGAGAGGGGGCCCAACATGTATCATAGCAGCCTAACGTTGGGCACTGAGTTAGTACTGAACTACTGACATCAGTAAATGGGCCCCTAAACAAGATATGAATCAAAGTAGTATGCAACACGCTTTCTCTTCAAAATTGAACGAGAAAAATGAAACGGACAACAGGAAGTAGAGAAATCAATTTCTTAGAGGTGTCGTCAGCGAAGTTGACGGTAATTTACTTTCGGTTTGCAAGCGCCAATGACGAATTTGGGCCTCTGAACAAAGCGGCGTTCGCTACTATCCACATTGAAAACATCAGTCTCATGATCGTATCGTAAAAAAACTACTTATCAGTTATGATTTGCGACTTTTTTGTGGTTGTGATTTCTGTGTGGCTAGAAATTAAAGTGTTAGAAGGTTTGAAAGTATTTAAAAACTTATCTAAGCTTGTGCTCTTGCTTCTGAGAGAGCCAGATGTTTTCATGTGGATAGTAGTGACGCGAAAACGCCTGCAAACCGAAAGTAAACAACCGTCGACTTAGCTGACGACACCTCCAACACAATATGAATGTTTACAATTGAGATTGGTCAAGTGGCAAAAACACAAAGTAGGTACATACGTGTGACGTAATTTCCACTTCATCTGAGTTAGAATTACTTGTTGATATCTCTTTCAAAATTTGATTTTTCAACATTCCATTGTGAGAATCGTTTTATAAATAAAATCTTAGAAAGAAAAGCACTGCCATTAATTTTGAGTGTTTAGACCCTGTCTAGTGGCCTAAGGACACAATAAGGACTTTTTTTTACCCGTGGAACGCATGGAACGCAATGTCAGCACTTCGGGCAGATTTAATCGGCCTAACCACGGCCTCAACCAACCTCAACCCACCTCGGAGGAGCAGTCCAAGCGTTCCACTGGAACACATAGAACGCACTGGATCGCGCCAATAGAACGCGATAAAAAAAGGATGCGTTCCGTTGCGGTCCACTGTGGTTCGGATAAAAAAAAAGCCCTCCACTCCGATGGTTCGACATAACAAGACTGAGTAGTTGCAGTACCTCCATTCTCGTAGGTAACATGCTGACGTGCAAACTTCAAAGAGTGCGAAATTTGTGGGGTTTGGTATTCAAGGACGAGCTTACTAAAAATCAAACTGTTGGGAGTGAATGTATCGATCGCGACTGAGAATGGTACTAAGAATGGAACTAAGAATCGGACTAAGAATGGTATTTGAGGTTTCTTGTACTTCCGTTTCAGACGTGAATTTCTAGATGATTCATGTCATCGATCTTTACGCAATGCCATCCATTGTTGAAATATCAAGACATACTTACGAGTTTGCGTCTACAGCAGATACCTTCAGCTTGGGGAACCACGTGGATGAGAAATGAGTTGATAAAATGGATTGCACAACGTGACTGCCAAGTGCCAATTGCCAAAGAGTGCAAAATTTGCAAGAAGAATCGAATTCCTCAGGGAATTACCGTATCAGACAGGCCAGGAGAAACTGGAATCGAGACAACACTAGGGTTTGAACAGTAACACGATATGTTTCTGATACTATTTCAAAAAGCTTTCTGAGAGAACAAAATGAGAGATGAGGTATGACTACTATGAACTATGAAATAAAAAATTCGGATAAGTGGGTTGGGTGGGTTGGGTTTGGTTGGGTTCTGCTCATTATCACATCACCTCTTTCACCATGCTCCGTGTTTTGTTTACATTGCACAACGTGATGATAACACGGTTGTCTGATAGCGCTGCATCGGTGGCCGCATGAACTAAATTTTGGCGCCAATTCAAAGGCGCGAAATTTTAAATTGACGGACTGTCCAAATGAGCGCGCAACCCATTCCCCTCCTCCCCGCGACTCGCACTTGGCGCCGGAAAACCACTCAGAAATGCTCGGGAACAAAATTTTAAGTCATAACTAGGTGAACATTTTTCATCGTCGATTACGGGGCGTCAATTAATTCAGTAAAATGTTTAATCACTTGGTTTTTCTACATTCACATGCCGCAATCAGACGCTGAATTTAGCAGCTGTATGTGGAAGTCAATAGTCATAGCCCAACGGCTGAAATTTAGCAAATTCGAGTTATTTTCATCCAGATGTGTATCAAATCTACTCGAATAGTTCAGAAAAATTCAAAATTGGTCCGATGGTTGCTGAGAATCGTTGCTGAATTTTGCGCGTCACGCGCAAAATTCAGGCATCCGGCCGATGACTTATTCCACACTCAAGCTACATTCAGCTCCCACATTCAGCGTGTGATTGCGGTGTTAAAAATTGACTTCCGCGTCAACGTTAAATTAATTTCTTTCGATTCCCTCATGAATCTTTTTGAATGTCAGAAACAAAATGTAAGCTTCTTTTAATTTTTACTNGGGGGGGGGGGGGGGGGTTGACCTCGGAAAAGAGAGCACTTCCTGATGTACGAGTACACCCTACACCACTCTGCCGTGTAAGGAAGAATGCCGTATGAGCCATCATACGTTGTCAAATTTCCTTCGATAATTTTTTTTTTCTTCAGGGGAATCAGTGCATATTTTTCCTCCGATTTTTCAGAGAATTTTATTTGCAATTGGATCTGAATTACCTGAAATTTTCAAGAGAAAATTTCTATAACTCTCCTCCAGGGGGGACCAATGAAAAATTCGACTTAAGCGGCAATTCGAGTGTACAATAAAGTAGTATTTTTCTTCACCATAAAATTTCAATTTTTTCAAATAATTGGTCATTGAATGCCGATGTTAAAGTAAATAAAATGAATCCCACGTATTAGAAAAATTGGCCATCTGCAAAGCGGAAACAAATTTTGACCCATTTCAATATGATTGAAATAAATTGCAACAACAAAAGCGCCTTCAATTAGTAGACATGCAACATACACAACATTCCGATGCAGTAGTGATACAACTTGGACGTATTCAAATCAAAAGGAACTATATCCATTTTGATTGAGCCCTATCATGCATGTGCTCTCATGGATCTCAAGGTTCATGTCAAAATGAATATAGTTCCTTTTGATTTGGCTATGTCCATTTTGTATCCGTAATCGCAAGTAATTGCAACCTGTGATAATTGGGCTGAGGCTCTTATTCTAGTGCACGGTCATTTATATAAGGAAGGTCAAAGAGGTTGAAAATTCTGGAGCTTTCATGCAATACACCGTGAACAAATTTCAAGTTGATAATTCCTGGACAAGGATTCTTATCGAGTCAAAATTTCTCTCAAGTGACAGTAAGTGTCATGCTTTTTTTTGAATTTTCAGACATTTTAGATTAAATTGCGAAAAAATGGTCCAAAAAAATTTGAGAAAAAATATATACACAATTTTCCCAGAAACTTTTTTTTTTTTTATTTAACGAGCTATGGTAACGTCTGAGGGGTTCCTTCTTTGCACGACAGTATGGTTCACGTGACCGAGAGTTTTTTCTCAGCGTAGTGACAGAGTCAGATCTGGATGAAATTTAATTATCATGATTCAAGTTGGTTTAATGATACAAATATTGCTTTATGGACACTTTTTCCATCTTATCTAGATCGATTTGGAATTGTGTTACAAGTTGACCCATTTTCTGTTCACTTCGCTTAAGGATGTCGATGACTGGTCGTAGCTTGTTCAACTCCTCATCCGGCAGTCGGCATATTTGTTCCTCCAAAAGTGAATACACCACAGCTAGCCTTCGCACTTGATTATTCATATAATTCTCATCTTGCAGGAGCTTTGTTTTCTGGAAAAAAGTTGTAATTAAAGACTGAGGATTTATTTGGTTGTCAGATAGCTGCGAATTTATCAATAAACTTTAGTCAACGATTTCTTTTAATTGATTCTTAGCCACATGGAAAGGAAATACGGAAAAAGTAGGAAGGGAATAACGGGAAAAACAGAGGGAAATAATCGGAGTAAAAAAAGGAAAGATACGAGGAATATAAAAAAAATGTGGAAGGAAAAATGTTGAAGATGAAAAATTGAATTGAGAAAAATTTAAATACAAGAAATATTTACAAAAGAAAAGAAGCAAAATAATGAAAAAATGAAAACAAATTTTAAAAAAATTAAAATAAAACAAAATTAAAGTAAAAAAAGGATGTAATCGAAAAGGGAAGAAATTAAAAGGAAAAATGAAAAAGACAAAATATAAAAAAGAGAAAAAAATGGAGAGGAAAAATAAAAAGGGGATACTGAATGGATAAAAAAGCAAAAATTTGGAAAGAGTAAAAAAACAAAGAGAGAGAGAGAAAAATAATATGAAAATGTATAAATACTTAACAAAGAAAAAAGTACCGTTGGATGAAAAAAAGAAAACCTTATTTTAAATGGAGAAAATAAAATATGGAAAAAACAATAAGGAGGGAAAAAGATAAATCATAAAAAATGAAAAAGAGAAAACAGGAAAAAATGAAGTAGGGAAAAAATCAAAGGGAGTTAATATAAACGGAAAAAATTTAAAAAAGGACGATAAAAAAAAACTTGAACAACCAGAACCATCTCTCACGAGTTAATCACGACAAAATCCAACGCTAAGTTAAATACAAATTAAAGTGCACAGAGTGGCAACGCGGCAGAGTCAACCTAACCTCTCTCAACACAACACCACTCATCACAACCAAAGACATAAAGACGGAGCACTAAAAGCAAAAAATGAAGCTTCTAGAGCTTCTTTTCAATCACCTCTACTATTGGCTAGAGGATTGGCGGCGAAATCGGGACAAGTTTGAATTCAAATGTAGGGCGGGAACTAATAAATAAAATTGCGGAAACAAAGTATTTTAGGTTGATTTTTGCCCAAATTCAGGTACACACTCATATTTT